ATGTTGATATGAAGAAATTTCTAGTTTGAGATTAACTGAAGCATCTAAGGAAAGAAATTATATGAATTCCTTGGCCTTTTTAGTGGAGAAGCGTTGTAAGAAAGTTCTTTAAGAAAATATGTTTTCCTGTATTTATGGAGTATCATATATAACCCTGTCACACAACTCCTTTGAAATATCCTTCTGATTAAATTTCTTCTTCATCATCATCATTTTGATTCAGTCTTCATCACTGCATGTCGTATGAAAAATAGTCACCTAGATAATTTAGTGTTTTGCATTGTAACAGATAGGAAGCCGTATTACAAGCAAGCGTGTCTCAGAAATGCTAGAGAGTTGCTTTCCGTGCTCATATATAATGGTTGACAAACATCCTAGTTGCCATGATCCTATGCATATTGTAACACATAGAGTTCAGAATATTATCCATTTCACTAACTATTTACTGAAAGCTTTTGTACCATGTACTGGCAGCCGTTGGAGATGCTTTTTGCAAACATTGAATGTAATGGTATGCAATTCATAAAATTTATGTTGCAAAGTCATTGGTTCTAATATTTAAAATTTGTTTGCTTACGTTGGAGCTACAGGTCAGTTTTGAGTTCATTTGACCTATACAAAGTGTAATGTGTTCAATCAAAAATGTCTAATGTATTATTGGAACATTATATCCGTCCATTGGAGCTAAAAGAGTCATTATTGGCAATGCTTTAATTTCAGGCACATGCTGGACTAAATAAAAAATGGCACATTAAACCTCCCTTGCCTTTTTATTTTCTATGAAGTTTTGGGGAGTAAATGTAGCAATGCATCTAGGGTCTAACCGAAACAACCTCTCTTTACAGGGATAAAACTGCATGCATCTTGACCCCAGACCCGGATGGAGTTGGGAACCTGAGAATATACTGGATAATTGTCGTTCTCGTCATCCTTGTTGTATTGGTGGAACATTATAATAAAAATTCTTGCTGTCTTCTGGTCCTAGTAAAAAAACCAATGCATTGCCTAATGGGCGAACATTGAAATCTGGTTTGAAAAATTCTCAAACACCAAATGAGTACAACAGCAACCCAGTTGAATCCCACAAAATTATGGTCTAGGGAGAGTGTGTGTATGCTGACCTTATCCTACTCGAAAACAAAGAGGCTTTTTCCAAAGAGACCCCCGACTCAAGCACCATAGGTAATCACGAATGCAGACTCACCCCTATGGCCCTATGTTTAATACATAAAGTGGCTGTTTCAGGATGACCATTGATGAGCGTCGAAAGTTACATTGACTAGCTGCTACTTCACTATTAAAAGAAGCACACACAATTTAAAGAGCCATTTTGCTTTATTCCATCATATCCCTAAGCCAAAATATAGTGAATTTTTGGCTCCATCGGAGATGGTGGAAATAAAGTTATCTAGATTTTTGTCATTATATGGAGACAGCCACATTAGTTTTTGATAAGGAAGCCATTTTCTATTCAGTAAATTGTCGAGTTATTTTAGAATTGGATTAAAATGTATTACAATTTATATCATCTAGATGTCTCGTCTTCAACTTTTTTGGTGACTTTCTCTTTCATTGGTCTAGGCTGGCTGGGAGATATCCTTGCTAATCAATTCTGAGAACTCTTTGACTGAACCTTATGTTGCACACACCCTTCTGGAAGCTATTTGCTCTGAATCTGCTATCTTCTTTGGAAACAGCATGCCAATACGTGATGCTGATATGTATGGATGGAATGCACCAGAGAAATATCATAAATTGGCCATGAAACTGAGCTCAGAGTCATGTAACTATATACAAGTCGGTTCCAATAGAGGAGCTAGTGGTATTGATGGCTTGCTAAGCACTGCCATTGGTTTTGCTGTTGGCTGCAACAAAAGAGTGAGCACATCATATTCTCTTTTCTCGATAAATGAGAAATTCGGATGGTTTTGGTTATTTTTCTTTCATCTCTAATTTATTCTGTACATATTCTGGTTTAGTAAATGAAATACACTTGTATTTAACAACTGATATAGTTTTTCCTTTCTTCCGCTCATATAGATGGATGAGAAAGTTAATTCCTTTCTCTTCTGTTTCCAAGATGTTTGTATATGTACATTAGCATGAATATGCAGCTTTCATTTTCTCATTCCAAAGATCCTCATCTTGATACCTTGCAACTGCTCAAAGAAACTTGAAAATTTAGAACCACTTGCTGTTTGGTTCATTTGCCAAATTCCATCAATTGTTTATTCCTTTACATTTAGAACCTGAGCTAAAAATTTTCCAGTTGTCTCTCCTTTTGTTTTACTTTTATTATTTCATTAGACTGTCACCTTGCTGTTTTCTGTAATTACATTTGGGAAATAATAAGTTTCTTAGAGCCGTGAAGTATTAAGTTATATGTGCTTCTTATAGGTACTTTCTGTACTTGGTGATGTTTCTTTTCTGCATGACACAAATGGATTGTCATTGTTGAGACAACAGTAAGTTTGTTACAGCTTTCCTTGACATCCGGCTATATCTTTTACATTCTTTGTTACTTTGATTAGAATGGTCGATGGCTTGTGGCTTTCTTCAATATTTTTCATTCAATATCATCAAGCCAAACTGCATCTTGGTACTGGTAGAGGGGATGCGTAGATTCTGTTCATCTTGCTTTAGAGTGGTGTTTAAAACCATCATATGTTTGAAAGTTATTATGATTTATGCAAATATGACCTTGATTTTGTTTCTCACAACAGATGATAAGATAATTTGTTAAGTTTCACTATCTTCATTTCAATTGTTGGGAAGTGGTGCATAGAGTTTTTCTCCAAAACTAATTAGACGCTTGGCTTTTAAAGGATTCCACGGAAGCCAATGACAATACTTGTCATAAACAACCATGGTGGTGCGATCTTCAGTCTTCTACCCATAGCAACTAATACGGCAAGAAACATTTTAGACCGGTACTTTTACACGTCTCATGATGTTTCAGTTCAAAACCTATGCCTGGCACATGGGTAAGAACATTGTGCACTTGATGCAAATTTAATATGAGTAACATATAATCTACTAGCTCTTATATTGTAGTTTCCTGGTCAGTACCTATTTGATTGTTTTTTAATGCAGTGTGAAGCATGTGCAAGTAAGTACAAAGACGGATTTAAGAGATTCTTTAATCGCATCAAAATCACAAAATGTGGATTGTGTCATAGAAGTTAATAGCTCCATTGAAGACAATGCTGGTTTTCATAGGTATAATTGAAGGATTTATTTACTCATCCAAATCTATGTTGCATTTCTCTGTTAATACATTTTATCTGGCTGTAGTACTCTGAGAAAATTTACATGTCAAGCAATGAATCACACTTTGGATAGCCTTTCAAAGATTTCAATTCCAAATTCTGCTTTTCATGGCCCAGTGCTCTACAAAGTTTGTAAAATGGAGTATTCACTTTATAGGTGAGGTTTAAATATGTCACATTGATTACCTGTGGTCAGAATCCATAAAGTATTAAATTTTAAATCTGCATTATGGCAGAGTTCAGCTATCTTCCCCTCCTACTTCAGCTTCAGCCAATTACAAATCATCTGCCTTCTTTCGAGAAGGCTTTATTATAAGTTTGTCACTTGCCGATGGTAGCATTGGCTTTGGGGAGGTAAACTAGTTAATATTATCTATGCCTTTTTTGATTTATTAGGGGTGATACATTTGTTTGTGTGAGGGAATCATATGGAGGGGAAATGATTTTACGTCACATCCAACTCTATCATCTTTTAATGATGATATTGGTAAAAATGATTCTCCAACATTGATTTCAAGCTCCATTGGTAACAAGAAAATTTCTTTTTTATTTTTCCTTGTGTGTCTCTACTAAACAGGTTGCACCTTTAGAAATTCACAAAGAAAACCTTTTTGATGTTGAAGAGCAACTCCAATTCCTCACTCATACTATAAAAGGAGTTACAATCAACCAGTTTCTTCCCTTGTTGAAGGGCTTATTTTCTTCTTGGTTGTGGCGTACTTTTGGAATTCCGGTATGTACATGTAATCACTTGTTTTACCCCCTATTATTTATTTTATTACAGAATTTCCTTTTTCAATCCATGTTTAGACAGCTTCAATCTTTCCAAGTGTCCGATGTGGCCTGGAGATGGCTGTCCTCAATGCGGTTGCAGCTAGTGAAGGTGCAAGTTTGTTTAATATACTTCGTCTGCATAGAGTGGAGTTTCCTGGGAGGTCATCAGATGTAAAAATTTGTGCACTTCTGGACTCTAACGGGGCCCCTGAAGACATTGCTAGAATAGCAGCTGATCTTGTGAACGAGGGATTTACAGCTCTAAAGCTAAAGGTAAGATTTTTTCCAGAAGTGTATTAATTGTTGTAGTAGGATTTTAACAGAGGAAATGTTCCCTACTTAAGGTTTGTTAAACCTATTTGACCTTCATGATATTTTCAGCTTTTTCAGTGTAAGATTCTCAGAACTTTTGCTGATTTCTATTGAAATATTCAGTTACTTAATCTCCTATTTTGCATATAGGTTGCTCGGTGTCATGATCCCAATCATGATGCTGCTATTGTACAAGAGATAAGAAAGAGAATAGGTGGAAATGTTGAAATTCGTGCTGATGCAAACAGGAATTGGTCCTATGAGGAAGCCGTTCAATTTGCCCATTCTGTAAAGAATTGCTGTCTGCAGTATATTGAGGTATATACTAGTGATAAGGAAAAAATTCAGTTCAGAACATATAGGAACTTAAGTTGTGCAGGGCATCAGTAGAATCTAGGTGTTCAATTAATTCAATTAAATGCATAATACTGAGTGCCTATAAACTTTCTGCTACTATTGATGGAAATAATAAGCATGAGGTGTATCAAATATCAATTCAGGGTTAAACCCTTTTTACTCTCAGTTCTGGAATGTGACCTTTACGGTGCATTCATGTGCCAGTGCTTACATCCATGATTTCTGATTGAACTAGGTGTATGAAAATTGCAATTCTAACATTCGTCCTGAAAGTCAATCAATTTGGAGGATGCGAGTATGAAAAAAAAATTTAGGCTAGTCAAAATACAAACCTGAATTTTAAGAAAATTATACTTAATGGTAGTAGGGCAGTGAATTGCTCTAACATCAATTCAAAGCAAACCTTGCAGTTCTTTTTTCAGCTATCCAATATGATAAGCTAGCTATAGATACTATTACCTTTCAGTAATCATCTCTCATTCTCAAACCATGGTGACATCGTATGTTCATTCATTATGAAATTTATTTCAAAATGATTTATTCCAGGAACCTGTTGAAAGTGAAGATGATATTATCAGGTTTTATGAAGCAACTGGCTTGCCTGTGGCTCTTGATGAAACCATCAATGATTATAAAGAAAATCACTTTGAAGTGCTTTCAAAGTACACTCATCCCGGGATAGTTGCATTTGTAAGTAGTTAAGCTTACTGTCGCCACTGTATGATATTACCATTTAAAAGCAGCCAACTGTCTCTGTTTTTATTTTCTGCAATGAACATACATGACTAGTGAAAATAAATCTACTCCCTCCGTCCCACAAAAAGTTTCTGGTTTTGATTTTTAAAGGATTTAAGATGAGTGTATATTGGTTTTGAGTTTCCAAAAATGCCCTTTGATGTGATGAGTAAAAGTAGGATATGATGGGTAGATTAATAATGAAAAAGTGTGATGTGATAGGTAGGTTAATAATTAGTACGGGTAAAAGTGACTTTTTAATAGAAATGAGAAAGGTTTTTTGGGACGGATGAAAAAATAAAGGAGAAAGGTTTCGTGGGACGGATGGACCGATGGAGTACTTTGGTAGCACTGTTTAACAGCAATGAATGCCGCTACCCGCCAAAACAAAGTTGTGTGATGATGAGATGATTTGTATTTTAGTTCTAGACCAATTGATAAGATTGCCCTGGCACATTTTCTATTATTAAATGATTACAAGTATTTGGATCTTTTTAACAGAGTCGTCAGAGCCCAATGCATAGATATATTGCTTTGAATTTTATTCGTTAACTAACATAATCTTTTGTCAACCAATCCTTCAAATTTCGCTAATCTGTGTTTCACTGTGGCCAGTCTCAGACTCCCTCTATTTCCCTAATAGTATTACACCATTTTGTGTGTTGCTTTTGAAATAAGGCTTGACTCGAGTGTGTTTTTGCACTCTAGTTACAACAGTATTCAATTTAGATTTAATAAATAAATTACAGAGTATATATTTAGATGCTACATAAAGTATTGATTCATACAAAAAAATGAATGGAGAATTTAAAAGAAAATAAGAGAAGAGAAGAGTTAATTTGACCATTAAAATGCAATTGAGTGTGTGTGTGCGTGTGTGATGGGACAAAGGGGGTGTTATTAAGCTTTCAGCCTCAAAGTGGAACCTAGTCATTACTCATAAATAACTTTGAGATGAGTTAATATTTTAATGTAATTGAAACTTCAGTGCAGGGCTCCTAAAATTTTGAGCAACCGAACATCCAAACCTTTGAAAAGTTGTTTCATTGTGATTTGTGTTGCTATAAGTTCAAACAGCTCATGTTCCTCTAATGTCGGTTCTTTTTTCATAAACGCATAACCATTTTGTCAGGTTATCAAGCCAAGCGCTATTGGTGGGTTTGAAAATGCAGCATTAGTTGCACGATGGGCTCAGCAGCTGGGGAAGAATGCTGTTATCAGTGCCACATATGAGACTTCATTGGGTTTAGCAGCGTATGTTCAGTTCTCACATTTTATTGACCTTCAAAACCTTGATATACTCCGGCTAACTAATAAGAAAGAAAGGCCATCAATCCCCCATGGTCTTGGAACATACAAATGGTTTAGGGAAGATGTGAGCACTCGTAAATTAGTAACCTGCCGTAATCCAACCAATGGCTGTATGGGGTCACCAGTTGCTGATGCTGATAGACTCATAAAGGGATTTCAATTCAATAAGACGGCAGTTGTTCGGAGTTCTACTAATGCTAATATTCATATGTACCAGTTGGAAACTGATCTGGACAATGTCTCCATCTCTATCAATGTCTATGATACTGGGGAAAGTGCAAATGTAGGTATTTTTAGCTACATGACACCCATATTATACTTTTTTTTGGGGCAGTATTTTGTCTTCAGAGCATTGTTTTGAAAAGTGCTAGGTACTAAGTGTGTGACGGTCCGTGTCCTAGAGCTTAGGTGGGGCATGGACATGGCCACATGGGCAATGTGAGTCAGAGCATAGACAAGATGAGACAGTGTCAATTCTGGTAAAGAAAGTGTAGGTTGCCAATGGGGGCCTAGTGCCTAACTTTATTTTGAGATATCAAACCAAAAAGAACTTTCAGGAGTACTCAAGTCAACATTAATTGCAGTATCCTTGTCTTTACAAATGTAGCATAAGACACTACTCTCTGAGTTTCTCTGCTCAACAGAATTTTAACTTACATAGCTTTCATGTGTGCTTGATAAGACTATATATCCTTACCTATACAAGCATGAATGATATATGCAGTTACACACTTGCATAACTCTCTAATCTTTTTGGACTCATGCAGAACATTGTTCTAGTTTTTCTGCATGGTTTCCTTGGAACCTGTGAAGAATGGATTCCAATCATGAAAGCCATGTCTGGCTCTGCCAGATGCATTTCAATTGATCTCCCAGGCCATGGAAGATCACAGTTGCAAGATTGGGTTGACAATGATGTTATGGACAAATCAACATTTTCAATTGAAGCCATCGCAATTATGTTGTGCAATTTGTTTGATATTTTACATCTGAAGAAAGTGATTCTTGTTGGGTATTCCATGGGATCCAGGATTGCATTATACATGTCACTAAGATGCAATGCGAAGGTATACTTATGGCTCAGTCATGTTCCCCTTCCCATCCCAACCCCGTATAAATTCAGGTATCTGATTCCAACAATTTGTTTTATAAGGTTGAAGGGGCTGTCATTATCTCTGGGAGTCCTGGATTGACAAATTCAGTAGAAAGAGAAATGCGCAGGACCAAGGATGACTTTACTGCATCTCTCCTGGTTTCTTCGGGCCTGGAATCTTTTCTAAACGTTTGGTATGCTGGTGATCTCTGGCACAGGTACTTGTTAAACAAGTTTTAAGACGCTACTATGACTTTATTTGTACTCTAAACAGTCGGATAGATTTTGAGCACTTTGTAATGTAAAATCTGCATTCTTCAGTTTAAGATGTCATCCACATTTCAAGAAGATAGTCTCCAGCCGCTTGCGACATGCTGATCTGGAATCTCTGGCCAGAGCTCTGTCTGGTTTGAGCATTGGCAGGCAACCGTAAGTTACACTATCATCCATCATAAACTTGTGGAAAAAAGAAAGAGAGAATAAAACAGCAGGAAGAAAGAAAGCAAATGTGAAAAGGAGAGTAGATTTTATATGTTGTTTTGGTATAGGGAGGAAATAAGAGAGAAATGGCATAGAAAAAAAAATTGCATGAAAAGACAAAAATGCCCTTGTTGCATGCATTACATACTATATGCGGAAATGCGAGAGAATGTCCATGTAAACAAACAAAACAATAATGATCTCAATACATTTTCTTACCATGGAAATACCAAGAAGAGGGTGCGGAAAGGTGGTGGTTCCCACCCATTCAAAAACTCCTCCCCTATTCCCCTTAACACAAACACACAAACATTTTTCTTGATTTATCTATCATTGATGTCTGTAGGTCCTTGTGGGAAGACCTGAAACTCTGCGAGCGGCCACTTATGTTCATAGTGGGAGAAAGTGATGCCAAATTCAAGGCCATCGCCCAGAAGATGCTCAATACAATGGATCAAAATGTGAGTGTTGTGAATTGTCCAGAAATAGTTGAGATTCCTTGCTCTGGGCATGCTGCTCATCTTGAGAACCCTCTTTCTGTCATCAGTGCAATAAGCCGGTTTTTGAGGAAGGTGAAGAACTAATATAACAAAACCATCTTTCATTCCAACAAAAAAAACAGATAGATTTCAACTTACATTTTGTTATATATTCATTCTATTGTTTGGCTTGATGTATTGTTTGGAGCTTTAAGAATGTTCCATTCACTTGTTCTCATTGCAACACAAGGGTATCACAACTAAACTTTCATTACTCATTGGGGGGAAATGAAACTTTGATTCGATAGATTTTGAGTAGATTTGAGTTTAATAATAGTTCATTTGGGGTCCCAAATTTCATTTTACAAAGGTTGTTTGGTACAAGTAGATGTTGAGATAAATTTTTTTAACTAGAGATTTTGTCATGACATACTTCCGCGTTTTTCGAAATTAACTTTCCATATACTTTTTTTTATAGAGATTAAAAAGGTCGAGAGTTTACCATCAAATACGGAGTAGCTTGTTACATTTTTTAAACTACAAGTCTTTTTTTTCTTTACATATTTTCAGGTATCATTTGTTAAAATGATAGTCATATATGGAGTATTTTTTTATCTCAATTTAAATTGTATGTTCACTATTCACAAAGTCAAATTTAAACAAAATTTTTGGTATTCATTTGACTTCTTTTATACGATTAAAATTTTAGATACTTCCTCCGTCTCAAATTAAATTAATATTTATTATTCAAATGATCAAGTTTATTTATTTTTTTCCTTATTTTCGTAAGTCATTTAATAAAATAATATAGACATATTATAGATCTTTTTATGTAGTTTCCATATAAGGAATTTTTATTTTTTTTAATATTACATTATTTTTCATATAAAATGATTTGAAAATAATTTCAGTCAAAAATCATAAACCGAAATAGACAACATAAATTTGGATAAAAGAAGTAAAATTTTTAAATTTAAAAATTTTATTTTTAAATTTCACACTAAATTTTGTTGAAACACGGGTTTATCGTGTTTTCGTACTAAAGCCGTGTTTGTTTTTATGACAGGTTTTGATAATGCCAAACCGCCGTGAACGAGACAAGTTGTTGAATATACAAGACGAGAAATAAATATAAGAAGAAAGCAAGAGAACAAGAGCTAAAAGAAGACCAAGAACGAAGACCGTAGTCTTAGCGTCGTTGAGTCGGTCACAATGTGATCAAGACCGACCCAAGCCTTACACCTTGGCTCTTTAGGCTAAAATTCTTTTAATTGCATTTCACATCATAAAAATGTTTTTCAAACATGTTTAAAACATTAAAAACACTTGGTGTTCGCCCAAACCAAAAACCAAGCCATCCGACGTTCGGGTTTCAGAAACCGGCGTTCGGCATTCGGTTTTCGGCGTTGGTTTTTGGCATCCGAACCAACCAAGTGGTTTTCTACTTTTTATGATTGGTTTTTACTTCTGGTCACATTTAAATAGTTTTTCATCAAAAACACTTCAAAAACCACCTTTCGTTTTTTGTCGTTTGATAAAAACCATCTGAAACGGCATTAACTTGGCTAGCCGTGGTTTTTACTCAAATGACGTGGTTTTTAAAGTAACTCACTTGATTTCTTAGCCAAATACATCAAATAAGTGTTTCAAACACTTGGTTTTATTTTGGAGAACTTTGGATTTTTCGGTCGGTTTTTGCATCGGTTGGCTAGGTCGTGGTTAAGGCAAAGACCATGGGTTTTTGGCTAACCACCCACCCAGCGATGGGAAGATCTTCCCATCGATGGGTAAGCGGTCCCTAAGCCAAACTAACTTCCAGAACCATGCCAAACAACGATGGTAAGTTCTACCCATCGCTGTTAAAGCCTTGGTGCAACATTATCACAAGGCAGAACAACCTTGCCCAACGATGGGAAACCTATCCCATCGATGGGAACCCAGCGATGGTAAGGCTAAACCATCGATGGGAAGGCATGACCGTTGGAAGTCATTTAAGGTTGATTCTTTCCTTGTTTGGAAGTCAACCTCCCACCCAGCGATGGGAAGCTTGTACCCATCGATGGGTAGGCAACCGTTGGCTTCAAAACTAAAGAAAAATTGGCTTACCAGCAATGGGTAAGTTCCAAACATCGATGGGAAGCCAATATCCTGCAGATCCCAAATCTTTTCAATCTCATAAATTAAGTCAATCACCCCTTTAATGCATTGGTCCGTTGGAGCCTATCTTGGCACTATAAAAAGGGGTGTTTGGGTCTGCTTTACACATCAATTCACTTCACAATATTCATACTTTCATTGCATTCAAATAACATCATTTTCCATAGCTTTCTAGAGCCAAATTGTGTGAAGTTTGAGTTGTTCTTGAGCGTTCTAAGTTTACTCATCATCTACTCTTAAAGAGAGTCTTGTTCTTGAGTGTTTAGTGTTGTATACACGTTAAGGGAAGCTTGTTTCCCTTGGTCATATGAAGGAAAGGTATTTTCCTTCGGGTTGAAGTCTTGGAGTGCGGTATCTCCGAGCAAGTGTTGTTGAGGCTCGTGGGACTAGGTTGTAACGGTTTGTTAAGCACCCGTAAGCTTAACGAAAGTAGTGTAGCTCGAGAGAGTCTCTCGGGAGACTGGATTAGCCACACGTTGTGGTGAACCAGTATAAATCTTGGTGTGCTCCCTTTACGCTTTCTACGCTCTTTACGTTTCACGTTCTTAATTTTTTATTCCTGCAATTTCTACGGTCAAACGCTATTCACCCCCCTCTAGCGTTGGTCAATTATTCTAACAAATTTATATAAAATAAATTAAAAATAAGTTTAGTTAAATATTATGAATTGAAATACACTAATTAAATTGGAATAGAAGGAGGATCATTTTTGTAAAATTTTAGATGTAATTTTAAATATAATGAATTCTATAATTAATTTGTTAAAACATGAGCTTTTTCATATTTAGTTTTCATTATTAAAAATTATAGATTTCTTTTCACAAGTTTTTTTTCTTGACTTCCTATCATGTTGGTGATAAACATATAATTTTACAATAACAATACATCCTTGCTATAGCTAATATCAAGTGGCGCTATTGATGTATTCTTTATCCATTGGAGTCACAACCATTGTTGTTGTAGCGTTGTTAATAAAAAAGACATCAAAATACAAGGCTGGATTTAGATTCAATGTACAATTACATTTTTAATTCTCAATTTAACATTAAATATGATCAAAAATTAATATAGGTATAAACTTGGCTTTGGTTCAACAAAATAATAATATGAAAATTTCATATAAAAAAAATCACAGGAACAACATCCAAGATGAGAGTAACACACAAGTTGAACACCACAAGAGGTTTCAACAAATCCTGCAAAATTATCATTATATACCTCACTAAATAAAGGTTACTTTTCCCTTTCACAGTTTCAACTACACAATTTGGATTTTCTTCTCTATATTTTTGAGAGGGTTTTTGGTGCCACATACGATAAAATTCACACCGATATCATCCGATATTGACCAACGCTCTGTTAGAGGGTTGTACGTAAAGCCACCCATCTCTTGGACCTAAAAGCAAAGGGACAGTGAAAAGGGAACAGCGTATGTGAACAAGAATGCCAAAATTGTTAACCCCAGTGAATATGTTCTTGACTTACCGATATAGAGCAGCGCTGAAGAATAAGAACCAGTTCTTCTGGTGTAAGAAAGCTTGACCACTGATGAGTACCTTTAGGAAGCTATGAAATGGCATTCACAATAATTAGCGCAATCTTTGTATTTATTTGTATGCATAGAGACTATAGACTATAGGTTTATTCATGATCTCTTCTAGCAAAGTGAAATTCGCCAGATAACAATGAGGTGATTTTCCATTGTTGAAATTAAAGAGAAAAAGAAGTTTCAACCTTCACATTAGACATCATTTTTATTACTCTTATCTCTCCCACTGTTTTTGACACATCCACTATTGATAGGGTCAAACTAAATATTTGTTACATATTTTCATCTATTTGTTGAAATAATAGTCGTGTCACCTCTTCTTTTATAGAACTTTTGATGTAGTTTATAAATATATAATTTTTATTGTTAAATTTTACACAATATTTAGATAAATTCTATTAAAAATAATTCCAATCAAACGTTGTAAACCCAAATGGGACAAAAATAGCGGGACAAAGAAAACAATTGATTTCATCTCCTTGTTTTTTTTAATGAAATTGGTGACGTGAATTTGGTCCAGAGCTTATAACATTGTCACTTAGCTTTTTATTTTTGCATGAACTTATTGAGTTACTTAATTTTATACAATTAATTGGCACTATAAATTCAATGTCATGGATCCCAACTAGTTGGGATTATTGTGTTGATAATGATGATGATGATGATAGAAATAAGAAGGAAAATAGAATGACCCCCACCCGGAGTTAGACAGATACAAGAAGTTAAGATAAAACAAAGATGGGGAACTTAAGGTCTTAAAGGAAAATTGTTGGGATTATTGTGTTGATAATGATGATGATGATTGATGATTGATGATAGAAAAAATATGAAGGAAAATAGAATGACCCCTCTACCTGGAGTTAGACAGATACAAGAAGTTAAGATAAAACAACAAAGATTGGGAACTTAAGGTCTTAAAGACTAAAAACCACATACCCAATGTAAGATATACTCAGCTGCAACTATGGCAGTTGCATAAGCCCTCATTGTACGATTAATTGTTGATATCACTGTAGCACCACTATCAACTGTCAACTCTGATAAGGATTTGCAAAAGTCAGCAGGATCAGCTACATGTTCTATCACCTGGTTCACAAAAATTCCAATGAAAAAGAGAAGAAAAAAACTAAAACTACATCAAATATACAATTGGGGCTAAAGGAATGAATGCATATGATTCCCTCTTTATGTTCTAGTCTAAAAAGTTCCTATCTATAAAGTTATTATGGTTTGTAAGCATACCTCTAGAGCAATTACAGCATCAAACTGCATCTGTTCTTCAACCAAATTTTCTGGCCACATAATTGGCAATTACATCACCTTCTGAAGATATACACACTTGGGTGGTTTGACTAGTATAAGGGTTTAAATAGAAAAATGAGATACATATGCGACTAATCCAATCTTTAAAAAATCATAAATGTAGAAAATGATCAAACAAAGATTTAGTGGCAGATCCAAATATATCACACACATCAGCTTCAACAAAATTGCCATATAAGGACAAGGAGTGAAACAAAACATAAGCAGGCTGCAAGCTTAGAAAACTACTGTCCTAGATTTGACAAAATGATACTATTAGCTATACAATTCAATAAGCA